GTCCATTGTCTGCATGATCATTTCCAAAGTTGAACCGTCGACGTGGTACATTCCCAAACGTTTCGCCGGCGAAACGAGTTGACGAGTTGTTGTGTGGTGCTAAGAATGGCGATAGTCACTGACGATGCCGACTACGATGCCGGCGAAACGTTTGATAATGTACCACGTCTACGGTTCAACTTTGGAAATGATCATGCAGACAATGGACTCCGGACTAGGTGCGTTCCAGAAAGTCTTCCTACCAATATGACCATGTTGCGAAAACAAGGTCAAACAACCTCCATGTAGTTGTTAGCTAAATTATCGGCTAAACAAGATCCCGTAGCTAAGCCCCATTTTGCCCATATATTGTACTATTAAAGGTAAAATATGTATTATACACTCCAAAATTGACTGATCTAATTATCGAATTCTTGCCGATTCAGGTTGAAGTAGCCAACCAAATCATGAGATACCTCATTGAGATCGCGAAGTTAGGTGTATAAAAAAACGGCTAGGGCTGCAGCTGGCCATCTTTTTTCTTGGTTTCGTATATTTTTGCTATATTTCATAAAGTATGGACTCTTGCTCTGATGATTTCTTTCCATTTACAGACGGAAGCTTAGTACAGTTCCATCAGGGTCTCAGGACGGTAAGCCGCGGGCTTCTTCGCACAATTCAACAGTCTTACCTACACGGCAATCCTCTTTCGGTTTTCTGTCAGATCACATCACAAATTTTTACTAACCAACTGTTCATTCGAAATGGAAATTAATGTCACAAGATGAATATGGCCTGAGCCTAGCCGATCCAATAAACTGGGAGTTGGGGTGCAAAGTTGATAATTTTTTGATAATTTAAGCCTATTTGCTACAAGTCCCCATTTACCAGCCGACACAATATCTGCTTTCTCGAAAAGGGTGGCTTGGAATTAGCCTTCTTTCTCTGAAGATCATGTGAACCTTGATCCATTTGCACTATGATCGTATCGTCAGATGGACAACTCGGTTAGCTTTACTCGACTTTTAATTTCGAAATAAATGTCCGTTGGAAGCAATTCGTGAATCGTCCTTCCTCTCCTTGGCAGCCTTTCTTTCTTTCTGGTGAGACAGATTCACAGATTCCCTTTATCCAACTTTTTCTCCGAAGTGAAAATTTGAGTCATACCAAGTCGCCAAAAGCCTATTCGGTATGCTCGCGATGCTGATGGGAAGCCTCTGCCCATCCTGGGTGAGGGCGCACGGTGAACCTGGAATCGTGGGTTTCTCATCTTCCTGTTCGGGCTTTTACTGCTGCCTTTCTATTACTTTTGTTTACCCCTCCTACCCCATTTCATTCATTGAAAAATACTCGCTTTCTACCCGCACACACATAAACACTCACACAACAGGTCTCAATTGGAACGGCAGGTACCTTCTTGATGACGGGTCAGAACTGCGTGTCGGCGCCCCCCTGCTGGACTCAAGCAAAGGGACCTATTCGCCGTATGGTGAAGTGATAGTGGTAGTCACGCCCAACTTTAATCTGGTCCCGCCTAAGCCTCAGCCCATCTGTCTGCCAAGCTACTGTATGTATGGTGGTCGTTGTTATGCCGAGGACTACCAGCTCAAGTGCGACTGCAGAAGCACCGGCTACTGGGGCGCTCGGTGCGAACGACGTGAGTCCGGCCAATCAGGCTTGTCAAAACTGGAGTAGCTGATCGAGTAGGGCTGGGGACTAACGTACATTTGAGCGAAGACTGTGGCAGATGCGTTTATGCTTGAT